TATTCTCGAAAAGGAATGAGTACAAGCTACACACCGTCTACACCGTGTTGAAACTCAATTTATCCGAAAAATTCGTTTACTTGCACTTTGCATCATCAATTTGATATTACTCTCAGTTGTTTACCTCTTTCATTTACTCCATCATCATTGTCTGATTGGATGGGTAACTGAAAGACACCAATGAAATCCAGTGCACGAGAGTGCAAGAGTAACAGTTGCGTAAACCAAAACTTAACACTGGCATAAATTGGTGAATTTTGTTTGCTTGATCTACTTTTGTTTTCATTACGAACTAGGATGGTCGACACGGTGTTATAAATCAGTTCACCCATCCCAGTGTGAAAACGGCAGTGTTCTCGGTGTGTTCGCGTACTTCAGCCGTCAGTGTGCACTGTACACAAGCAAAGGCGGCGTTCATGAGTGAGTTTGAATCCTATCGAGGCTGATGAACTTTTCACAATTCAACCATGATACTCCAATCGAACAAAAGAAGGTTATCTTTATATGAAAGGAATAAATGAAGTCCATCGCATGATTCAAGCGGGAACACTTCCCCCATAGGAAGCCATAGATAAAGTAAAATATTTTGCTCAAACAGGCCAATAGGAATACACCACGTAAGGAATATCCAACTACGATTATCAAACGAAAATGCCCGTACAGTCATTGCAGATGACGGACTACAGGATTATCAAGCCGTTTTTTCGAGTTTATTTTGTCACTTTAGTCGTGAAGTATAAGAATGCACTTTGTTGCGTTCAACAAAACGCGCTTAGGTGAAGCGGAGTGAGAACGGAATGGAGCTTTGCAGTTTCCAGTCGGTTCCAAATTGGGCAGCGACTAATGCGACAAGCGTATCTGCGAGTCTTGATACCCGAGCCCGACAAGGAAACAATGCACCAACACAAAAACATAAGAGAAGAGACACGCTAGTTCACGAATTTATCCGATACAAAGGCAATTAGATCCGTGCTATGCGTTCTTCTGGAGCTCGAAAAGGCGAATAAGTATGATAGGGAAAAACGAACGCGCTGCACCAAAATAGCAAACGGTCTGCTGGTGACAATAGCTGGCCGCAGGGAAGATAAATCAGATAGGAAGAAGAAACTGTCAATAGACAATGCGGGCAGCACATTGTTTTCCACTTCTTGGCGTGAGCCTGGGTAGCACTCGTTTGTAAACGGAGTAGGTGAATGGACGAACTGAAAAACAGCCAGTTGGACTGCCACAACCGCTATCGCATCCTCATCTTTAACACACGAATACACACGCACAGGTTATCCCTACCCCATTAGGCGTCCAGCGGACCCCGAACACCCTCACGGCATGACTCAGTTTTAATCGTTCGGGTAGACAATGCCCAGAACATGAAAAGCACTTCGACTGATGAAAAACACTCGTGGTCAGACGCAGTCGAATCAATAATTATTCAGTTACGTGATAGGATGCAACAAACGCAATCTTCATCCAATGTCCAGCCACAATCGCAAGGCACACCGTGCGTTTAGGTTTTGAATATGCATTTGATCTCAATAGGACAGGCACATCGGGCAATCCGAAAAAACTCGGGGCACGCCTTTTCATTAAGGGAAGCAAATCGCGCACATGTAAGCAAACGAATCGAAAATGCCCGCAGAATGCCAGTGTGATAGCACCATTTGCTGCGGATCATCGCACGACATCGAACGGGATGCCATAGCTTTGATTGATACCAACTTATCTAAACTGGAACTGAGGCTCAACCCTTCCCACAACCTACACGCACTCTTCGCAAATTGTGAAATCCGGGCGGCGGACACTAACGTGTTNNNAATCAACTGGCATGATTCGCATCACCAGGCGAGAGGAAAGTAAATGCATCGGCAGCATCTCATACGCCCTGTTTCCTGTTGCACTTATCTTGTAGTGTAAATGTGTAAATAACGCTCAGATACACTCGAATAAGTCAGTGAGTCACACGGACAAACAAAATAGTTTATGATTGTTTTCTTTTCTGTAAAACACTGAAATCATACGTGATCTTATGAAGATAATGGAATGACTATTTCGAGTGGGGTAGGGAGGTAAGTTGAGGGAAGAATGGAAACGCTTAGTCTCCAAAAGCGAAATAACATTGATCAGATCATAAATATAAAAGCGTGACATGAATTGAAATGGATTGACTAAAAATAAATTGAATGAGGACTTCCAATACAGCATCACAAGAGAGAATTTTTCAACACGGCTTCTGTGGAAGCATTGAAATTTGAGGAGAGAGAGAGAGAGAGATCTTTGCATCAACATCCAGCGTTGCAAGGGCCAGCAGTGAATGTGTATCACCTCTCAGAGGCCAACGTAAACAGGATTTGTGATGCATTCCGACCTCATCGTGTATTTTCTGTAGACTATGTCCATATGAACAGGACATGTGCACATGCACAAGGCTGTTGTCCCAACCAGCAGGCGTTTTGCGGGGCTATCTTGTTTCAGCATTCTGTCCACATGATTTGTGAGTCACGCAACAGGACAACAGGACTTGCGAATTGACCAACCCAAAGAACTGACAGGAGCTGAGTCATCACAACTCCTAGTTAGTCCAAAATTCTATTCCGCACGTGCGCGCGTGTCGAGATGTCCATAGGTGAAGCAGTCGAGGGACTGGCTCAGTCACAGAAATCGGCAGTTTGTCACTATTGGTTCCTTCCTTTATCCCGTCTTAATCTCCCGCACCACCCAACTAGACTACTGCTTTTGCACTGCGAATACGAGCTAGCGGAGTAGAGAGTTATTGAGACAATAGGACGGCGAAAGCAGCTCTCCCCCCTTAAGCAACTAACCACGTGTACACACTAACGATCACAAACATACCAAAAACAGACGGCGACAAGTTTCGTTGAACAAAAGTAACACTCGATTGTAGCACCAAGCGAAGCGAAACGAGCACATTTTTGACAAGCAGTCAGACTATCTAACCTGGGAGGGGATGGAAAAAGATGAAACAAACAAAACAAAACATCATCTGATCTTCGCTTTAGAAGCAATGACTGACACTGTTGAAAAGTGGGGGAGAGGAAAACAAGGAGCCTGAATCGATGAATTGTTATGAACCAAGTCAAGGACAATGAGAACAGAACGACCGTGTGTGAGATGAGGACAGATAGAGAGAAAACGAACATGATGTTCATAAGAGTGAATTCCGCAGGTTGAGTGGAACAAGCTATCAGTGAAGTCGATGTCAATGTCCCTCCTCAGTGACATTAGCGTTGGATATGCTGATACATTTGTGGAATCAGAAGCTTCAGACGGATAGTTTGTTTCTGCCTACCCTCGTTGCATTTGGTCACAGAGTGCCTTCGCTATCATTTATGAGGGAAACGTAACTCTTCTACAATGTACCGAATTAACACTTAATAGTCAGGGTCCGCAGATTACACGGTGATTAAGACTATCAAGTTCATTCTGATAAATGCGATCAGTACACACCGCATGAGGAAAAGCATATTTTCCGGAGACCTTCATAATTCACTTCTGAATATGTGTACGATTGGTGGCGCACCATAAGCTTAGTAGTGAAAATTGCAATGTTTTTGAATCATTCGGAGGCACCATATCAGGGTGGTGGTAGTCCCACGGCGTGCTTTAGAATCTACGGTCCGAACTCCGCCAATACTACNATACTACCAAACATCGGTGGTAGACAATTTCATTATCGACTGGGTTTTGATCACACGTAAGGGGGGAGAACCTTGTGTGGTTCACCACTTCAAATCAAGCATCTTAGGTTGCCGGCTCTCATAAGTGAATAGTCCTCTTAACTGTAGAGCTTAATCCTTCTATCGTTCATCACACAACTGTGTCCAATGAAAAATATCCAATGATCCACCGAGATTTTACGATCCGAAAGCAAACGGAATACAAACGAAAAGAGCAATATATGACTACCTGAAAACTGAACATTAACTTATTATGAAGGACTCCGTGAACCATTCATGAGCATGGAGGAAAATATTCCGCGTGCAAAGCCCATATATTTGGAAGCAGTTGGACTGAGATGATACTATCGATCTAGTCAACCGCTCGCAAGCATTCAATGAAAAGATTGTATGGCAACCTGTTGCATGCAACGCAAAAGCCAAGTAAACCGCTAGCAGTTAGAACAAAGTGTGTGTGCGCATATATATATATATATATATCATTGTCGGACAGCTCTGTGTCGCACAAGAACAGCTTTGGCAACAACAAAGCGGTCTGGAGACAGAGATGACGAGTGTGGTTGAATACGAGCGAGTAAAAAAGGACATAGGAATAAGTGAACAAGTCGACAAAGTGCTTCAGGTTTAACGAGATCGTAAGACACGCTAAACCGTTCACATATCGACAAACGCACGCACGTATACATACAAACGGAGGCAGGTTCGGTAGACTATTTCCGAAAGGAGTAGCACGTTGGCAATCCTTCAAACTCAATTAGCACGTGACACGTCCGATGGGAGGGAGCGACTAGAGCATTCTTGGGATTACAGATTAAAGCCTGATCGTACTACCGTCATACTGAAAGCCAGGCAACAACGGTTTAAGCTTCATATTACAGTTTTAAAAAAATCAGATGGAAAAAACCTAGGAACTATAACAGAAGATGCTAGCGATTCTATCAGTGGACGTTTCGTGTTCAGAGGGAAGCCTAACAACCAATACCGTGAACTACAATCCAAGGCTAGCCGGATTTATTTATTGCCACCTACTACATATTGGCACAAATAAAATGAATGACCAACTAACGTCTGACGTTATATTCAGTCAAATAATTTATTTTTATTAACCACTTATTCTTTGCTCTAAAGAGACTGTTCCAGGTACACCATTCTTGTTGTTCTTGTTTTTCTGATTACATGTAATTGGTCTCTCCACATAAAAACATATATATATATATATATATATATATATATATATATATTCTGAGATCCAACCGTGTGTACGAGCAATGAAAAGTACAGCTCAGATGGATCCAAGCACTGGTGATGTTATTCAGCATACTCATAAAAAGCCGATCTATCTTTCGGGAATAAACACAAATCACAAAAACGGAACATACTATAGCCTGTTTTATGCTCCGCAGCGGAGATGAGCATTGGCTTGGATGAGGTAAGCATTGAGGAAGTCTCGTGCTGAGACCAGTCCAACGGTACACCTGAAGTCCCACCGTTATTTTCAGGACCCTGGGTCGGCCAAAGATTGGCGCCGCTTCCCTCAGGCTCGTGTGAGATCGCGGACTGGAGATCACTGTGTGCGTAATAGGCAGAATCATCACCGGACCCGGAACCACCCTGTGGCCAAACAGAGGCTCCGGTTCGACATGCTGTAGACAGAGCTAGCGGAGGTGAACAAGAAGGAACAGAGGGAGGCGGA